AGAACACGGCTAAGACAACAGTGATTCTGCTAGAGCTTCACACAACCCCCACATAGGGCTCAGGGATGAGGACAGCAGTTAATGCTGACTGGGGCCTGCTATGTGCCAAGCACTCTAAGTACTAGATGTGCTTGATCTTGCTTACTGCCCAGGAGTCCCCTTAAGATGAGTATCTTTAATCCCTCTCATAAACAAGATTCAGACAAGTTAGGACCTTTGTCAGTCATATAGCCAGGACATGAGAGGAACTGAAGGAGTCCAACTCCAGCTCACAATCACCCAACAAGACTGCCTCTCCCCACCTACCCCTTTCTTAGCTGCTGTTGGCTTCTTCTTGCCAATAATGGAGCTTTTCAGTTCTGTGAGGAAGAGGATGGGCATGAGATAGGACAAAGGAAAGTCAGAGAACATGGCTCAGTTCACACCATGCAGCTTCACAACAAGAATATCTAAAAAAAAAAAAAATGCTTCAGCTGGGAAGACAAAACTGCCACCACCAGTTCCAACCAAGACTGTTCAAGCCAAAGACAGACAAGGTTAGGGGAGCTCGCTGATGCCCAGAAAGTAGCAGTAAGAGCCTAGACCTGAAGCACCAAGACCTGAAGCACCAAAGACAAAGTGCCCAAGCCAAGGTGAAAACTGTTGAGTAGGGAGCTGCTCAACAGCCTCAATTTCTGGAGCAGAGAGCGGGCAAGCAGGGGACAGGCTTCCCAAACCACTGGTTACCTCTGGCAGAAGAGGCCCCTTTAGCTGACAGATACATGGACTCTGGAGAAGAAACAGACTTGTGGCTAATGAGGGCCCATAAAGCTCCCAAACCTAGAGGCCTACACAGAGCCTATTTCAAAGCTATGCTAAGCCTTCTCACAGAATTAGCTGGACAGTCACTCCACTGGCTTCCTGCCCCAACCCCCAAGAGTCAACAGAAAAAAACCAAGGTCAGCAAAGGGATTGTTTACTCTAACCAAGTCTGAAGGCCACTAAAGAGTAGAAAGGGCTGAACTTTGAAAGGACAGTATGCCTCTAGCCATGAACAGCTCAAAGCTGCCCCCACACCTCATGAAATGGGCAGAACAAGCCAACCCAGCCTGACATCAGGGATTGGTGTCCAGTCCCATTCCAACCTCTCCAATACCTTGGCTAGCTCTACCCCCACACTCAAAATGACAGCAGCCTTCCAGGCTTGTCAGCTCAAAGGACCTGAAGTCAATGTGGCAGTCAGAACTTGACTTGGGTCAGTTCCAGGACCCACCCCAGAGGGTCAGTTGCTCAGTCTCCCGTGCCCAGCTCACATGACTAGGCAGCAGATTTAGAAGACATACTTGAAGCAGACTCTCTCCCAGTCCCCCACACCTGCCAGCTTTCATACCCAGAGAGGTTTGGGGTGAGGTTCCAAGGAGGTCGGTGTTAGGACCATGCTCAGGTTCTGTGAATTAAATGACAGGAGATGGTAAGGGTCACTGACTTCCTTCTGCTTGCCACCAGAAGATATATGCCCACCCTTTCTCCAAGGACTAAAGTGAATCCCATTCCACCCAAGGACACAGGAAAACCTTCTCCCAACTCCTATGTCTTTGGCCAAGTGTCCTAAACGCTAGTCCTTTTCCAGGTTCAGGCACTTGGTTACGATCTGGGCTGAACTCACGTGCCAGGCTACTGCTCTCTGAAGGTAGGGCTGGTTGCTGGATCCCTGAAGGTTCAGTGGCTGCTGTATCCCAGACAGAGGCCTAAAAAGAAAGCCAGATCCCAGAACCCTCAGTGAGCCCTCCTAAGAAGCTACACCTACCTGTGGGTGGGTAGGAGGCACTTAGCTCTTATGCTCCCAGGTATGAGAGAAGACTAGAAATTGGCAGTTATAGTCACCAGTCACCATGGAAGAAAAATGCAGAAAAATAGCATCTTTAACCTCCAGCTGAGCCTTTCCTTAATTGATAAAGCATTAACAACTCTTATCTACTGACTAGGCACAAATCCAAGGGTGCTCACAGATACAACAGGTTCAGTTAGTCACAACAGGCCCTATGAAGTAGCTATGTCTCCTTTAGAAACTGAGGCTTTGCCAGGTTAAGTAACTTGGCCACATCAAAAGAATACCAAGCAGAGATGCTGAGATGTGACCTGAGACTCTTGATTTTAATGACCACTGTCAAGAAGGGTGACAACCTTTCTTAAGGTGGGTTACAGGAGAGGGAATCCTTATTTGTCTCCAAATTCTGTTCGCTTTTTAAAAACCTAGACATTGTTTAGGGTCCCTGAGATCTCTCTACCACCAGGGCCCATTTCTAAAGACGGTTCATTTGCACTCCCATAAATAGGAAGAAACTTCTGGGCCTACCCAGCAGGCAGTAATTAGCCATTCTGAACCACAGACATTCTCTGAGGTATTGTACCTAAGCAAAGAATTTATGTCATGATCACAAAAGGTGTAGCCTTGGCAAGTAAAGCATTTATCAAAGGAAATGACCCTGTGGTACTCACTTGAGTGTGTTCTGTGAAGAAATCAGAGTCTTTCTTCTCTGGAGAGTGACTAGGAGCACTGTTCATACTGTCTATGCAAAGCTGGAAGGACGGAGATTGGAATTCAGGGCTATTCATACCTCCTACCCCATCACCCCTAAGCCAGGAACAAGCACTTACATCGGTGCCATGCCTAGCCAGAGCTGCACTCCCCAACTGCTGAATTTTCTGTCGGTACATCTGGGCAGCTCGGCTGTTATATTTGGTGTTAGCATCACTGGCCATACATCCGTGTTGGCGGAAAAAAGCAGTCTAGAGAGCAAAACGAATGTAGCATTTATGTGCAAGTACTTTCAACAAAGAAACTGTATTCACACTACAGGAGATAACACTCAACCGCTGGGTTATTAGTTCTGCAGGACACACACTACTGACACAACAGGTTTTCATAGAGGTAAAATTCCTTTAAAAAAAAAACTTTAATTTTCATTATTATGTGTGCACCACAGTCCGTGTGTGGAGGTCAAAAAACAACTCTGTGGAGTTGGTTCTCTCTTTCCACCTTTACGTGTGTTACCTGAACTGAACTCAAGGTTGCCAGGCTCACACAGAAAATATCTTCACTCATTAATCCATCTTTGGAGGTGCTTCCCTTCTCCAAAAACAAACAAAAAAACCCACCATGCCACCGCCCACTCTCTGAGACAAAGACATGAAGTTTAGGGTACTGAGGAAAGTTGTGCAGTCCCCACTCTAGCTATCCTCCTGCAGGAGCCAACTGTGGAGACTACCTGTCCATGTCAGTCTGTATTAAAGCCTCTTTGAAAGAAGCTGTGTATGGCGGTGTTACAGAGCTGAGAACGCTCTGAACAGAGAACACAAACTCACTCCTGAGAAGTCATGGAAAAGGTAAGTACCCAGGCAAAAGAACGGGGGTGGGGGAAGATAAAGAAACTTTACCGCATTGGCATTCCCGCCGACCTGCATACACCTCAGCTGCAACCAGCTCCAGGTCAAATCCAACTCTGTTGACCTGTGCACAAGGACTGTTTGTTACTTACCTGTTGATACCAAAACATGCTTCCCTGTCAAGTCTACACCTGTCATTTGGCCTCAGGCTTTTGTGCGTGTCCAGGAAGCCATCTTTCACTGTTCCATTTCCTCCTCGCTTCCCTGTTTTTGAAATCTTTGCTCTTTACCTAATACAAAGGGTACCAATTATTTCTGAGAAGGAGATCCGAAAGGAGGTCGACGTCTCGGGAACGCTGGCACTCTTTGTCTAAGGGTGGTCAGAATTGTACTGGAGACCTGTTGAGCCAATCTGTCTGCAGTCACAAAGTCAATGCATCTGACTTCTCCCCTAAATTGATGCTGAGTCTCAGGTTAACCGTGAGGAGAGGCGGATTTACACCACCCCTCCCCCGCGCGCGCGCAGGCCAAAAAAACTCCCGCCGGGAAGTATCCAAACATAGAATTCAGAAAAGTTCAAGGGAAGGCTTCCTTTCTCACTTGCTGACCACACAGCCCCTGTGATAGCACAGAGCCTACCTGATAAAACTGAGATGGACACCCAGAGAGCGATGCACTCCGGAGCAGTCAATACACAAAAATACACCATACGTAATGCTGGCCCAACTCGGGCTCTTGGCGCCACAATCGAAACAAGCCTAAGTGGAAGAGGAGACAAGTAAATGGTTAGGGCCTAGAGTCGAGGCCCAGCGCTCGAAACCACAAGAAAGCCTCCCACCTTCGACCCCGCCCTCCCTCGGGCCCCAGAGGACAAGAGACATCTTCTCCGCCGGCGACAGGACCCATGCGCCTCCCTCTCAAGCACCTTGTTGGTGGGAATTGCACGAAGCCTCTTAAAAACGGTCTGGATTTCGGTCTTGCTCGGCTCCGCCGCCATTTTCTCTCCTTCCCAGATACAACCGCGACCGACAGCTCCCGCCGCGGACCAATCCGCGGCGGAGAAGGCGGGCTCACCGCACCGCCCCCGCAGGGCCCTGACCCGCCTACGAGTGAAGTGATTCGACCAGATCCGGACCAATGAGCGTCGGACCGGACTAAAGCGTGACGTCAGCAGCCGGGAGCTCCACAATGGGCCTGAGAGTGAACGCCGAGGTGCGCCCAGCCAATCCGCAGCGGGAGCGGGCGACGACTCGTAGGCTGGCCAAACTTTCTTAGTCGCGGCTGGACGCAGGGACTGCCATACCTCAGGGCCACTGACTACGGATGACGGAAGGCCATGACCACAATATCTGATGAGTTGCCGATAGATGAGTAATGATTAACAATCGCCCGAGTACTCCTAATCCCTTCGGGAAGACACTGGCGGGGCTCCAACCCTGCTCACAATCCAGTAGAGGCCCACACACTAAAAAAACCTGATTTCAAGTCCTTTCCAGTCCAGGTTACATTTCTGAAATTTCAGGGCAGATACCAGGAGGCAGTTGCCTGCCCAATTCCTGCTCCATAACACATACTGGTCCCACGAACCTCCTCCATGACTCCCACCAGCTTCAAGAATGGGGTATCAAAAGACGCTCACAACACTAGATGGTACTTTTATTCTTGATCAAGTTTAATACACACTACAAGTCACAAAATAGGATGTTGCTAGCCCCAAACTACATTCTCCCCAACCTCATCCTCAGGAACTCCCAGTTTAAGAACTGGATCCCCTACTCCTGGGGTGACCCAAATGCTTCCAGGGAGGCTCAGGCATCTGTCACTCCAACCTCCCTTCCTGCCTCCAATCTAAACTCTTTTGGCCTCTTTCTAGACACAGACCCCTCCCCTTCATGGGCTCTCAGGCATCCTCCCTCTGGAAACAGAACAGCAGCAGCACATGGTTCAGGGTCCTCAGGTCCAGCGATCCTGGAAGGGTTGAGCCTTGGTTCTGGTCGGAGAGAAACTGCAAAAGGACTATCAGGGCACTCAGGCACCCACACACTCTACATAATTGGCAGGGTACAGACCAATGCGGCCACTCTGCAACTGGCCCTGGCACCAGCCCTGTTCATCTTCCTCACTCATCTTCAGCAGCTCTTCCCCTGAAGGAAGACAGATTGGTCACTGCCGGAGGCACTGGTTTCACTGATCTCAAAACTAGGTCAAGGGCTGAGGGGATGGGATAGCATAAGGGCCTACAACCTGGAGGATGCCCAGCTCAGACTAGGATAGGACACAGCCAGCAAGCAACCCAACCCTAGACCCCAAGGAAGCCAACGTCAGGCCCCAGCTGGCTGGACCCTGAACAGGCTGTGAGAAGGGGGTCTTTAGCTTTCCTTTTCTACATCTCCTGCTCTATCAGGTAGGACAGGCTGAAATGGAGAGGAACTTGAAAGGGCCCCCAACCCACCCCTACCACCCCCGCATACCTGCTCGGAAGCTCAGCTCATCAGCTTCCTGCCCGGCATAGTCATAAAGCGCCCGCACCCTCACCCCAGTGGCAGCCTTCCGGAGACTCTCTTCATCTGACCAGTCCTCATCCTGCCTACTGCTAGAGAGGAGACACAGAGGGGCAACTCTGGACAAAAGCGACCATACTCAGCTCAAGGCAAAGGTTTTGACACTTGGAGGAACGCAGATGGGGAGGAACTAAATGAATAGTCACACTTTGGCCACCATGACTGCAAATGTAGGTACCATTCTGAACACAGGCCTGTTATACAGCCAAAACACAAGGAATGTGAGGACCATATGAGAAACCTAAACCTCTGTGAGCGGGTTTCGGGTACTGCTGTGAAGGGAGGGGAACAAGCAAGGGGTAGAGCTGTTTCTTTCCCAGCTCTTACCCTGGAGATGCTGGGCATGCTGGGGACTGGGGTGGGGGTACAGTGCCATCTCTTGTAGGTACAATGCTGGTCAGGGTAACCTCATCAGGGTTCCGGCCACCCTTCTCCTTCCGGCTGATTGCTCTCTGTGTGTCTAAGGACCACTCCTGTGGAGAGAGGTTCTAGAGTCAGACTGAACTGTAACCATGGTGGCAACAGGGCCATCTGGACCACCTTTACTTACTTAACCAAAAACCCTGTCATCTTCTCGGGGCCTGCACTGAGCCCAGCCCATCTCCAAGCCCCACCCAGTCTGTAACACCTGCCTCAAACTGTGGCCAGTTCATGGCCATGCCAGGCCCATGTGTGCTACGCCACCAGCGGAGATCCTCTTCATCACTAGCAGCCTCAATGCCTTGCTGCAGGTCTCGATGAAGCTCGTGGAACCTAGGAGGCACTCAATCAGACAGGGAAGGCCCAAGCTCCTAGAATTCCATTCAGCCCAGCTAGAGTCCATAGGAGATGAAGGGAAGCCTCCGTCCAGTGTGCAGGCCATACTTGTCACTGCTCGAGAGGTCAAGGTGCTGATGCAAGGTGAACAACACATCCTTGAAGAAGAGAAGCCGCTGGCGTTCAGCAGCCTGGCAGCTCTCAAAGGCCTGCTCCATGTCCTCCATGTAGCGCGGGGTATAGCGATTTAGTTCCGCCAGTGTCTGCTCATATTGGGTTTTCATCTGGGTGAGAGAGAAGGGAGGCAATGAGGACAGACTGCCTTCTACTCAGGACTGCACCAGCATTCACTGAGCACAGCCACGGGCTAGCCTTGGAGTTGCCACAGGCTAGCCTTGGAGCTGGGGGTTGGGGAGGGGCAGGCAGTCCTGAAACTCATTTCCTACCCTCAGGGACTGACAGAGGCAGCATAACGGGAAGTGACATTCAAGTAAAACACCTATAAGAATCTGGTTGGAGCAAAGGACAGGGTCAACCTACATGATAAGGTGAGAGAAATCAAAGTAGGCTTCTTGAAGGAGTTGTTACAGACAGGACACCTCTCAGAGGGGATGGGATGCTCGAGGAAAGGGCACTCAGGGTAGGGGACAGAGTGTGCAATATGAGAACTGACCCCAGGTAACTAAGGCCTCAACTGCCCGAAACCCCACCATTCCTCTCCTGGGTAAAACATCACCTCTGTGTATATACATTTGTGTGCTCTGTGTGTGTAGGCCACATGTCAACATAGTGTGCCTTTCTCAGCCCTCACAGTCATGAGACAACCTGCCCCATCCATTCCCGACATACACACCCTTCACACCCTTCTGTCACCTCCCCTTTATCCACGTCAGCTGCTGAGCACAGCAACCACTTTACCAACTAAGCCACCTCCACCCCCAAGTTCCTCCTTTATGTTGGGCCTCACGACAGTAGCTTTGGTTGACCTAAAACTACATGTAAACTGAGCTAGTCTCTATGCGGACCAGGCTGGCATCAAACTTACAGAAATGCACCTGCCTCTGCTTCCTGAGGGATTGTATCAAAAGGTATACCCTAAGACCCAGCCCAAGTTCCTGTTAAATAACCATGACAAGCAAGAGCAGCATCAGGGATTAGAGCAGCAAGCGCCTAGGGCAGACACCCAAGAAGCTTTGCCAGGGGCCTGTACCTTCTCTGCCTCCTTGGTGCAGCGTCCAACTCGTTCCTGCAATTTTCGAAGCTGTTCCTGGGACATGGAGCTGTCTGCCTTCGCATGGCTCTCTCGGGTCTGGGCTGTCTTCTCATCCTTGCGTGCTGTGTAGTAGCTCTTCTTGGAAGCTTCAACCTAACATTCATGAGGACAGCTCTGGATCCTAGATGCGGCACCCTGGTCTGGTGCAGGACTGGAAGGCTCCTGCCTCCCAAAACCACTGCTCCCAGCCTCACCTCCTTTAGCCTCTTTAGCCAGGGCTTCTGGGCTTTACGGAAACCATCCTCGGCAGCCCGGCTTTCCCGAAAGCCACCCAGCACTGGCCGGTGGAAAGCCCCTCGCTGCCAGGTCCGCACACGCTCGCTGTCTGGACCATGCAACTTCTCCCTCACCTCCAAGTGTAGCTCACTCAGCCGCTCAGCCGCAGTAAAGAAGGCATGCCAGGCCTTCTCCAGAGTGCCATATTGTGGGCCTGCAGAGGGATGAGCTTGGGCCAGATGGGGTGCTATCAAATATAACCAACCCCTAGGGTGTCCTACTCTGAGTGCCAGACAGAGGCATGGTAGGAGTGAGGGTGCAAAGCTGAACAGCAGCAATATAAGGTGCTGCATTAGGAGTGCCTACTCTGTACCCTGATGTGAGCGATCTCATGAATTCTTGCCTCCAGTACCACCGTGGGGACAGTGCTACTGCCATCATAGACAGGCAAAAACAAAAACAAACAAACAAACAAAACCCCCCTAAAACCTAGAAAGGTCACGTTAAGTTGTCCAAAGCATCACATCTATTATTTAGCCAAGAGTAAACCCAAGTCTGCTGTACAAACTCTGTGTGCCTGGGATCTTTCTACCACAGTTAGCTCTTTCTAGATGTGTGGTTTCAGGCAAGTCCCTTCTCTGATCTTCATTTCTGCTCTAAAAAACGGGAGGGAGCAGGAATATTGCTATGTATGCTTGAGGTCTTTCATTCGATCCCTAGGCCTGCATGCTGGCTCACCCTTCTCGACAGCACCCCTCCACTTGCGGGCCCAGTCAGCCAGCTGCTGGGCATAGGCCTTCTCGATGCGGGCACGTTCTTGAAAGCAGTTAACCAGGTCCCCACACAGCCTGTGCCCATCCTCAACCCGCTGCACCGTCCGTCTGTAGTTGCCAGCCTGGGGTACATAGGAGGGAGGGCTTTATCAGGGAGAAGCCCCCTCTCCAGCTGGGCTGACAGCCCCCCCCCATAGGTGGCAGAGCCAGAGAGAAAGGGACAATTTTCTGCCAATCCCTAGCTACTTACCTCCCAGAAACTGCCCCCTAAGGCCTCCACTCCAGCATCCTCTTCTGGAGCCATGGCGTCCCTGCAGCACAGAATGGTGGCAGATGTGGTGCTGTGGAGGCCAAGTTGGGGAGTAGAAAAGTGAGGCCTGCAGTCTGGGGTCTAGGAAAAGACCTTCTAATAGTCCTTCTAATAGCCTTGTCCCACTGCCATTCCCACCACCCAAGGAACCAGCAGAGCAAGGACTGGGTAACAACCAGCTGGAAGTCCTCAAAAGGGGGCAGGACGGGGCAATGACGGCAGCTCCGAAGTTCCCTGCTCTCTCTAGGTTCACCCTCCTCAGTCCATCGTCTACATACCTGGGGTCTCCAGATCACTTCAAGGACCCGTGTCCAAGTCTCCAAGCTGCCACGACGACTCTGCCTTGAAGTTAACAAGAGCACAGAAAGGGGTAAGGGTTGGGAGCCTCCAGCGTCCAGGGCGGTGCCCAGCTCTTCCAATATAGCAACTGCTGTCAGAAGTACCAGATTCCAGGCTGAGAATGCCAGGCGGGTCACACGATCCAGCAGGGGATTAGGTGACAGACAGGGGTAGGTGGTGGGCAGAAAGTCCCACACTCCTACTGTAAACGAGGACTCCTGCCTAACTAAGGCCCCTTGAACGATAAGGTAACCCCATGACCAAACCAGTCCAGCTGACAGGTACCCAACTCATAGCCCCTGTAACTATGCATACTGAGCAGAGTGGAAAAGAGAGCCAGGAGACCTGGGCCCTGCCATGACCAGGAAGGTTCTGGAATCCCCACACCTGGTCAGCACCCATGCTATGGCTGATGTAAAACTCAAACTAGGCAATGAACCAGAAACACTTGAAAGATCCATCAGTCAGAAGGGGACACTTACTTGCCCTCTACCACCACCACACAACAGCCAGGGAAGTCTCAAAGGGTCCTGAGATAACAAACAATTCCATCCTTCCCTCAGAAAGCCTAGGGCGGGGCTTCATGCACAGCCAGTAAGAAGAACTGTGGAGGAAGGCAAGGTGAATTTTTATCCCAAATCTCTCTCCCTCAAGGACTAGATGACACAGTACCATGAAACCTCCTGACTCCAGGCAAGGTCTCAGTTCTCCCCAGTACCAACTGCCTCTTGTCTATAGAAGGAAATTGCTTTCTTCTCCGAGAAGGCCTAAGGCCTAAGGGACAGTGGGTCAAGAGGACAAGTGTGTGAGGCTGCAGCAAAGCAGGACTCTGTCACATCACAGACAGACTTCTGCAGTTTCAATTTGTGTTAACCCAAGCACTAGAATCAGTGGCAGCAAGGAACTGGAGACACAGCTCAGAGGTGGAACATGCTCTGAGGCCAGAGGTTCCATCACCAGCACCAAAAAGGAAAGAGGAATGATGTCCCATCTGAAGACCAGAAAACCTGCTGGCTACAGCAGCCCTGAAAAAGGCTGGCCTAACTGACTTCCTTCTTCTGCTGGCAGGAGGGGACAGGCCTCTCCCTGGAGACCCCATTAGGATACAGGCATCAAAGCTCCCAGGACACAGAGCAACTCCCCACCACCCTAACTAGCTCTTCACCTTATTTCCTCTTGAGTCAACCCCACTTGTCCAGAATGGCTTGCCAGTAAGATGGGGAAAGAAAGAACAGTAGCCATAAGTCATTGGGCCTTTGGAGCTGTCCTAGAGAACCATCCAGGGCCTGGGGCTCATGCCTACTCCAGCCTCTCTGCCCAGGCTCCCAGGAGACCTGCCCCCCACCCATTCCCTCTCCCTGGCCCCAGAACAGAGCAGGCTGTGTGTGTAGGGCTGGCACAGCTCCTCCAGACCTCACAGAGCAAACACAGACTGGATCCCCAGGCACAGCCAGGCCCGGCACCCCAGCTTCATCTAGCTATGGGGTTGGACCTGGCACCTTGGTCCCTGTTGAGGAGGATTGGCACCTTGCGCCTCCTGACATTAGCAGAGACTCAAATCCGAGTAAACACACTCTACCACAGCAAGAGCTCAGAGAGCAAGAACAGGTAGTTAAAATCTTCCCTGCCCAGGACCTCCACCTATCCAGTCAGAGGAGGCTTCTGGGCCATCGGCAGGGTCTCTGAGCTGAGAGTGCTGGGCTTCAGGATAGCACACGCTCTCTCCACCTGAGCTCCAAAGACTTCGGCCCTACTCCTCTTCTACACATAACCTAGCCCCCACGTTTTTCCAGGAGCTGGGGACATGGGTCTGGGAGAGAGCAAAGCCACCCTGCCCTGCCCAGTCCTGTGTCCTGAGTCACACAGGCTGCGCCCAAGGGCTTCGTCAGCAGCCTCTCCCAGTCAGTCGGTAGACCTAGGATAGAAGGCGCAGAAAGGGGTAGTTGCTGAACCAGAGAGGGGCGCGTGAAACTCCAGAGACTGGCACAGCCTTTTGGAGGGTTGGGGGAGGGGTGGCGCAGAGAAAGGGGGAGGAGGCAGGGCCAGGGAGGGGCATAACAAAGGGGCATTTTTGGAAACCCGACCTACCAGCTGAGGTGCCTGCTCGCTAATGACGCACTCCTAACCTTGAGCCTCCACACCAAATCTCGGAACCCAGGGACTGCTGGTCTTTGGCCTCCACCCTTACAGCGCCACTCGACAAACCACCTCCCGATCCCAGAAGGCACGGTGGTTGAACAACTCCGAGCTGGTGGAGCCAGCCACACAGACAGGCATAGCCAGGCCTAGACATGGAGGCCCTAGGACTCCTTTGACAAACTTGTTGAACTTGGTCTCGGTGGGGAGGTGGGACCAGATGGTTACTGCGGAGGGGGAAGGGGCGCTGCCTGCCAGGGCTAGCCGGGCGGTGGACTACAGATGGTGGCGCGTAGCGGGTGGGGAATCCAGGCTTTCTACAGAAGCCCCTTCTAGGGCTTCAGAACGGGAGCGAGGAGAGCAGTTTGGGATCCTCTAAGAGCTCCAAGAGATGGTTTGCTCCACCAGCCTGGACGCCCCATTACTCCCGGCTGGTCTGAAGAATCGCCTCTTTGGCGTAGGAGATGAGATGGCCTTGCGCTCAATGGCAACCAATGGCCGGGGTCTCCAGCGCGGGAGTCCGTCCCATTGCCAACTTCAGGAGTCGGAGGACCAAAGAGCGAGCTAGAGCCACGGCACTGCCGCCGCGTCCCCCAGCGTCCCCTCCAAGGCACTCACCGCGTCCTCTCAGGGCCCCTCGGTGGGTGGGGGGGAATCCGGCCACGCTCGGTCCGGAGTCTTAACACTCCTGGGTTCGGGCCACCGCCTCCTGGAGCGCGCCGAGCCCTCCCCCGGGAAGCCCGGCCCCCCGGGCCCGCCCTCTCCGCGCTGCCGCCTACCCAACCCCACCAACAGCATCCTCGCTGCCGGCACTGCAGGCATCCGGGCGCCGGGTGGCTGGGGGGGTGCATAGGCTCTGCTCCCCCATGCAGAGCAGGAGCCAACTGTCGAAGGTGGCGCTGCGAGCGAGGCTTGCAGAGAGCTAGACTTCAGTTTTGGGGCCCTTCGGTCTTAGCAGAGCCTGAGAAGCCGGTGGGAGTGAACCGGAGCCTGCATCCGCATCACTAGGGTGGGATAGGGGGACACTGCTACATTACATTCTTTGCTAAGAGCACCTTTCTTAAAAGTTAGCTCCGGGGAGGCTCACAACCATCCCTCTTTGTAAACATTGGGATTCTGAAGTCAGAAAATGAGGCTTAGAGAGACCTTCAGCGGTTTACCCATGATCTTTCGTCTGGCAGAAGCAGACTGTAAAGCCATGCCTACCTAGCATAGCTCTGCTGGCCAATCTAGCGCGCATTCAGAGACCTGGGACAAACGCGGTGGGGGTGGGACAAAAAAGCATGAATTCCTCCCCCTCCGTCTTCATAGTCCCAGATTTTGTGCCTCCATTCATATCCTTAAATCCCTTGGTCTCTTCACCTTCCTTGTTCAATGTAGACTTTTTCGGAATCGTCACGATGCCACCCCACCCTAAATAGATCCCTCCTTCTTCACTCCCCCACCCCTAGCCTCTCGGGATTTCAGAGCCTGTGGGTCTGTTATTTATATCCACTGGAGTGGTTCAAGAATGTTCTGAGGCTGACCTAATCGCCACCTGCTTGGCTTCCTCGCCCCTCCTGCTCTCTTCTGAGCCTGGTGACCCAGCAGCAGCGATGCCCGGAGCCCAAGGGGCAGGAGGGAACGCGGGCCAGCGGGGTCCCAGACCTCTAGTGCTCAGGGGTCCTCGAGGTTGGAGAGGCCAGGGGACCGCCCCTAGGGGACCGCGCGCACTCTGGAAGCAACAGGCGTAGCTATTCTCTTTCCTGCCCGTACATTTCCAACCCAGCCCCCTTCACTCCCTTAGAAGTGTGACTACGTGCGCGCGGATTTTTAAAAGACAACTTTAAAAATAGCAAAATCGTGTTGTTTCTAAATGCGGAAGGAATCATTAATGCGCTCCTTGCTCAGTGGAGTCCACTCACAAAATGGGAAGGGGTGGTGGGGAGAGGTTGCTGAGGAGAAGCAACACCAGCAGCTGGAGACTGACTTGGGAGCAAGAGACTGTCTCCCTTCATAACATCTTTGGCCTCAGGACTCTGGCGGCATGTAGCAAATCTCGAGTAGTAGATTCAGACACCTGAGGATGAGGTTTCTGAAACCAATTTTAACACATTCACTCTCTCAAGGGCCTGAACAAATCTTGTCTCCTTATCTATTTCTGCCTCTATACAACCTGACAGGTAATCCGCTGACTGACCTTCCCTGGGCTGTGTGCCCAGGCTAATTAGCTATTGTCAAACAGCTGCAAAAGAGAGGGGCTTGGGAAGTGTCTAATCGCAGTCATAGTGTTTTGTATTATTTGGAATAGTTAGCATCCCACCTAGCGCCTAGGGGCATTTAGGCATCTAGACAGAAAGTGTGAAAATGCGAGAATGAAATTAATTACAGAAACAGCCTACTAAAACCTCATTAAAAATAATGTTGGCAGCCAGGCTCTGGGATGTACAAAAGTCAGGACATAGAGACTCAGGAAACAAGGCTGTTCAGACCACAGGGAGAAGTGGATGTGCAGTGGAAAACATCTGGCTTCCCTTGGGTTCAGATCTGGAATTGGAAAGCAGAAATGTTGCAGCTGATCTTAATTGTCCCTAAGGTCCTGGGAGGGGACAAAGCACAGAACACATTGGGCTGTAGGTGAAAGGACATAGACATGTGCTCAAAAACCCAACTCCCTGGGGCTCAGATTTCTATGTCTTATGGCCAGAGCCCTTAATTACATTACACACACAGTGTCACCTCAGTCTGAACAGTTCAAGACAAGACGCCCAGGCCCAGAGGTCCAAAGATAGAAAGCTAGTGAGAAGCACCTTGGTTTAGAGTATCAGGTGGCAAGTTGGTCTGCAGCCAGCTTTTAGGGTGCTCGCAGACTTCTGGAATGTCCTAACCACTGTGCCTTCATCTGTTTGTTTGTTTGTTTGTTCAGTCAAGAAAACATTAGGATTTTTGCTTTATGCTAAACCCTATACTAGATTTGGGAATATGTAGAGAAATAAGACTGAGCCTTACATATACAACAATGATGAGACGTGTATAAAAAGTCCCGTGAGAAAACAGAGACAGGAAGGACTACTTTCCGCAAAGGCATGACACCTGGTTGGACTTGATGACTAGAAATCAGTCATGTAGAGAGGCATTCTCGGTGGACGCAGTAGGATGTGCCAAGTCCCAGTGTTACTGGTGTATGACTCTCTGACCTAGCAACTCTACTTCTTGGTATCTACCATAGACAAATGTGTACAAATACAGACAAAAATGTCAGGATGTTTGCACACAGCACTATTCAAAATCCAAGAATATGAGATACAAATGTCCACCAGGAAGGAAATTGCTGAATAACTAAAGCTACAGATTACTCTGTAACAATTCCAGAACAAAGAAAACATATTTTTTGCTTTATTTCAGGTTTTTTTTCGAGACAGGGTTTCTCTGTGTAGCCCTTGCTATTCTGAAACTCACAGAGATCTACTTGCCTCTGCCTTCTAATTCCTGAAATTAAAGGAGTGCACCACCACCACCCAGCATAGAAAACATATTTTCTTTTTTTTTAAAGATTTATTTATTTGTTATGTACACAGTGTTCAGCCTCCATGTATGCCTGCAGGTCAGAAGAGGGCACCAGATCTCATTACAGATGGTTGTGAGCCACCATGTGGTTGCTTGGAATTGAACTCAGGACCTCTGGAAGAGTAGTCAGTGCTCTTAACCTCTGAGCCATCTCTTCAGCAGCCCCCTCTTTTCTTTTTTTTTTCAATGCAGAATTATTTTCTATTATTGATTTTTATTGATCTCTACATTTTTCTCTCCTCCCCTCCCTGTCTCTCCCCTTCCCTTCAACCCTTTCCCAAGGTCCCCATGCTTCCAATTTACTCAGGAGATCATGTCTTTTTCTACTTCCCATGTAGATTAGATCTATGTAAGTCTCTCTTAGTGTCTGCATTGTTGTCTAAGTTCTCTGGGATTGTGGTTTGTAGGCTGGCTTTCTTTGCTTTGTGTTTAAAAACCACTTATGAGTGAGTACATGTGATAATTGTCTTTCTGGGACTGTGTTACCTTACTCAAAATTATGAATCAATAGCCTTCTTTTTCTTTTTTGGTTTTTCAAGACAGGGTTTCTTTGTAGCTTTGGAGCCTGTCCTGGAACTAGCTCTTGTAGACCAGGCTGGCCTTGAACTCACAGAGATCGCCCGCCTCTGCCTCCTGAGGGCTGGAATTAAAGGCAATCACCACCACTGCACGAAAAATATATTTTTCTAATTAAACATTTTCTTTGCAGTTCTGAAGGTAAATTCAGAACCTTGTTTATGCTAAACAAATGCTCTGCTTCTGAGTTCCACCTCAACCAGAGATACACACATATTCTTGTATTCTCGTAGGAATATCTCCAAGACACTGTTAAATGGAAAGAAAAGTGCAGAACACTGTTCAGAAAGGAAATACACCAGACTGATTTTAGAAGCTATATCTGGAAAAGAAATCTCAAATTGACATATCAGAGGATTTATTGTGAGAGGTTGAGGCGTGGCTCTGCAGTAAAAAGCTTCTCAGCATACAGAGACTTATGGTTAAGTTCCAGCATGGAAAAAAAAATAATGTACTTATTGTGTAAATTCTGCAATTTTATTTGTTTTATGAGACAAGGTCTCATAGCTCAGACTGCCTTTGAAATTTGGCAAGATAGTTGATACTGGCCTCCACCTCCCAAATGCTGAGTTTACAGCAGTGTGCCTTCAAGCCTAGCTAAATTTCGTAGTTAAAATAAAAACTGGTGAAGGATGATGAGTAGGGTTTGGGTCAAAAACTCGGATGTCCAATAGAATTTGTGCAATAGTAGAAAGGTCCTACAGCTGTGCTATGCAAATGGCAGCCACACAGACATCTGAGCATTAGGATCATGGCTAGGATATCGAA